GAAGTAAAAAAGAATTCCGCCATATCAGTTTGAGCCATCAAAGAAAATTTAAATCTTGTTCACATACACGAAAAAACGGTGACAATTAAACTAAAGAGATTAAGTGAAAATGGATTAAAAAATTACATAACAAAAAAATCTTTTATTAACGCTAAAAATAAAAAAAAGTTTATTATTTGTTAAACAGTATATTACTAAACCCTTATCATTTTGGAGACGTATTATATGGTCTCACAAACAAAAAAAACGGAAAAGCCAAGGTTTTACTGTTTAGCAAATAGTAGACGTTTTTTTATTTTTACCAATATTCATATACACGGGTACCTACTTTAAACTTTCTTTTGTCCGCCACTGCACTTTTTAAATAAGTGAAGAATAACAGTATTTTTAATTTATGTAAATTATTTTACCGCAGCTCGATAATAAAAAATATACCGCCTTTCAGGGCAAGACCGGGGGCTCTTTTGTTGAAAACGGGCGGGATTCGAGTTTGACTATGAAGTTTAAATTTGTATTTCGACAGAAGACTCACGAGTCCAACTTTTATTTTCATGTAACCAAATCGCGCACCTGAAAATTATTGATATTAATGCATGATACTTATGGAACATTAAATCGTATACTTTGGATATTTCAAAACTCTATTCAGATACAATTTAAAGAATATATATTAATTTTTCTTTTATATAAGAAGGTATTACAAGGCTTACACAAGATAAAATTAATAATTTATCAATTATTTTTATTAATATTTGTGCGAGAAAAAAAGAGGAATGGTGTTCTCTAAATAGTATTTTGAAATGAAGCGTAGGTTGTCTAAATAAATAGACCTTATTAAAACTTTTTGGAAAAAAAATTTGAGTGACTAATCGAGTGAATAATTACTATTAAAATATTATTCAATAAAACATTAAAAAGATACTTTTGAAAATGTATTTATATTAACATTATTAGTATAATAATTAATTAATAAAAATATATTTGCTACAAGTAAAAACGTTCTATACATATTCTTAAACAAGATTTTAAAATGCAATTAAAACTCCCGTTGTTAATTTTTGTTTAAATTTTTTGGTTAACATCATGGAATTCCGAACCGTGCAAAATTATATGTATATTATATTAAAAGGTTAATTACTTAAGCTGTTAATAAAATGTTAATAAAAAAACAGCCAAAATTTAATATTCTTCTATTCTATATGCCAGTGTCATAAAAGAAAGACATGCACAGTGTACACAACTATTCAAATAACTTTCAACAATTATGGTTCTAAACAAAAATTATATATATTAAAAGCTTAATTCATGTTCTCACCAATGCAGTTTCGTGGACCTTCGCCAAATGGTAAATAAGTGTAAGGATGCCTTTTTTCTATTTCGTCAGCGTTGAATCGCTCTGGATCAAATTTATCCGGATCCGGATATATTGACGGATCTCGATG